CCCCCCCTATCACATTATCAAACCAAATCCAACCTTACCCTTCCACACTACTCTACCAGCACCATTGGGACCTCGAGTCTGGACACTTCTCTAAGCACCACAGGGGTGGTTATATGTAACTTACAATACATAACAATTAGTCAAGTTTACTGTTTGCAGATTCTTGGTAAGATCTTACAACTTCACTAATACACATTCCATCCATCGGAATCCAAGCAAGACAAGGTATCAGCACCCCACGAGTAAATAACCTATAGAACCAGTCCTCAAATCCACCATACGCCCTTCTCACCTATAAACAACGACAACTCAGGGAAAGGAAATATAGTAGTAGTCAAGTTAAGAACCTTCTTCTATACAGTACTATACTATACTATACTAATAGTACTATATAGTACTATACTATACCTACCTACCTAAACATTCGCCACACAATCCCAAATAACCACTTATTACAATATAGGTATATAAAGAAACAAGTATTACAAGATACACACACGAGTTAACATACAGTAAACGAACCCCTCAAGAGAATCAAAACTTGAAAGAGTTTTTTACATTAATTAACCCCTCTTATACCTTAATCTACTACACCCTACCTATAAACAACGACAACTTAGGGAAAGATGATACCGGTATAGTAGTCAAGTCAAGAATCTTCTTCTATAGACCATATAGTACCATACCATACCATACCCACCAAAACATTCACCACGAAATCCGTAATATCCATTCATTACAATATACCAAGTACATAAGAGTGAAGAAACGAGTATCACAAGACACACACAAAAAGTCAACATACAGTAACCGAACCCCTCAAGAGAAACAAAACTTGAAAAGAGATTTTCATATTAATTAACCCCTTCCCTCCTACACCCCCTCAACTCTCTTTACACCTCCTCCCTTCCCCTCTCTCTATCTAAACTATTCACACCATCCCATCATATCCTAATCCATTCCCAAACACCCACTCCATAACCCCCCTCAACATCTCAACATCTCATAAAAAAATGAAGAGAAAACCCCTCATCTAGCACACACGCTCGCTTGCTTTACAAAACCAAATTAAAATAAATAAAAAAGAATCATTCAGTCTCAATCACATGCATAAAATGCCCTCAATCATACCACCATTACTCCAAAAACGCCAATTCCCGTAGTCCAAGAAGAAAAAGAAAACATGTAGAAGAAAAGAGAAAAAGGGGGCGAGAGCATCCTCATCATCCATCATCAACTTCATATACCCGTTCGTACCCTTATTCAGGCCGTTCGTACCCTTATCCAAATATCAGGTTCTTATGTAGAACGTCCCATAATGAGCAGAACCCACTGTCTAAATATTCCGTAGCAATGATGGGTCAGAGAGTAGAGAGGCTCAAGCAACAATACTCCTCCCCCCACCAATCCCCCACTTGAATCTCCTCAAACTCCCCGCATGTCCTGCACCGCTTTTCGCAATCTCCCTACCACAATTACCACCCTCCGAAAAGCCCGAGCCCTGGAATCCAGCGAGCATCTCTTCTCTTCCAACCTCCCTACCATACACATATCCAGCACCGAATCCAACAACACTTACAAGAACGATTACGCCAGCAGAAACAACCCAGGTAAGAAGCGTAGGAGAGACGAGAGCCTCCTCTCCTTCAGATATAACCTGTACGCTCCTTTTTCGCTTCTTCTCTGCACGGAGTTTCTCGCCGGTTTTAGTGGTGGTGGTTATATTGGCTTTTCGCTTGTTCTTTTCATAGGCTTCTTGTGATGAGATACTGGGGGTACTACGTGGTCTAGGTGAGAGGGGTCGTGAAGTGTTGGCGGGTGGTGCGGGAGGTGGACTGATCAGTTCAGATTCAGGTACTAGGCGAAGGCCCATTGGTTCATTGTTGGTAGCTGTGGGATTTTGTTGGTTGCGCTTTCCTCGAGCAGCAGCAGCACCGATGGAAAGTAGAGTAGTGAGAGAGGCACGGAGAGCAGCATCATGATCGGCTTGGTTGTAGGATGGTTGTCTACGAGGTATGTATGGGTTTCTGTCGAAGCTTGATCTTCGGTCGGGGAAATAAGATCCTGGCGCTGAAGATCGGTGATGGTGGGATAGAGGAGGGTGAGAGAAGGCGTTGGGCTGTGGAGTGAATGGTTCATAGGTTCGTCTCCCTAATGCCGTAGCATTCTCATCATCATCCTCGTCTGAAGATAGGCTTTCCACTTCTGGTTCTGGTTCTGGCATATTGAGGAGACGAGTACCAGGTGTAACTCGCTCATTTGAGATGGCCATGACATGATCATCTTCGCTCTCACTCTCGTCGTACTCCTCCTGGCTGCTAGTACCTGTCTGTCTTCTTTCCATGTTCATTCGCGATGGAACACCTCCTCGTACGTACCGTCTCCTGTGCGTGTTGGGATCATGTTGGACTCGTAAGCCAGTTGTAACCACTTCGTCGCCGATGGAGGAAACAGAGGAGGAGGAAGGTTGGGAGGCAATCTCAACCCAGGAATCTATTCCTTATCAGCCGAGTTACGATATTGACAATACAACAATACTAACCATCATTTCGCACTCTTTGAGGAACTCCGGATGTTGGAGCCATGATTTCTTGAGTTATTACAGTCTGTCTACTGTTGAGAGTGTTTTCTTGTTTGTTTTCCGAGAGAGTTCGTCGCGATAGAGGTATAGATTAGGGGTAGTGGGGTGCCCAGAAGCTAAAGCGGTAAGTTTGGAGGGGGGGTTGGTATCCGCGAATATCGAAACGCTTGGACAACGTTGCTTTGTATGGAGAGATTATCTCCAGTTACAGGTTCTCTTCTCCAGTTCTCGTATCCCTGACCTGCCAGTAATGGGAATTATGGTAAATAAATCGCTGCACCCGGTTGTGGCGCGTCGTAGGTAAGTTGGTTTACGGAGATTGAGAGCGATGTCCGCTGTTCGAAGCACGTCAGGGTTGGGGCGAGTAAAAGTGCCTGGTGATGGTGGTGGTGGTGATGCGATGATGCTATGCAGCTATGAGCCTATGATGGATCCTAAACGGGCCAAGTGTGAATGATCATCGCCAAGTGGGAAGGAGTACGAGTACTGGAGGAGTGGAGGAAGTGGGAGGATTCGAGAAAGTGGAAAGAAGTGGAGTAGGTGGGGTTGCGATGTGCAATGTACAATGTACTCCAAACGTGGGACACTTTGTGCGTGCGTGTGCGTGAATGTGAATACTGGTAGGTGATGTAGTCGCGGCGGTCGTTCTGGCTACTTGTGTCTCTGTTTACTCTGGTGTTGACTAGACTTAGGAACTCTCAGATCAGGCGGAGAAAGTGTTGAGACCTCGTGGAGTATGGTGATGGTCATCTACTGTGCTGCGCCTGGGCAAACCTGGAAATGTGTCTGGATGTGGTGCTAAGGCCAGAGGCAGTAGTCGGATAACCCTGTCTGTGGCTGTCTCACCATGACCCCTCACGCATTGTATCCTTCTTTTGTTGGGGGGAAGAGAAGGCTGACGTTGACCTAGTCACAGCTAAACCGATAAGTAAGCCAGGTGAGTTTCCCCATTGGGAAGTTGAAGTCACATTTGTTTCCATATAAAAGACTCACTCACTTGTGTTAACACTTTACAACAATTCACTCTAAACAACCTTTGGGTTTATCTAGAACCAGGTTTGACTGTGTTAAGAAAGCAGGAGGTCACTACCTACTGCAGAGAATGTGCCTTTGCAGGTGGCCAGTAATAGGCCTTGCCAATACACGAAATGACGTACATGGAACTTAATTCTAGATATGGGTTTACGAGTTCAATATTTACTTTGTACTTCTCACAACGACAACTTCAAGACGTAGTATTACATTACTAATATAAGCAGGTTGTCTTAACAAGAGTCTTAGTAAAGTAACTACGATAAAGATTTCCAAAAAGGGTACTTAAGACAAGTAAGACATAAAACAACCCACTACGACTTTCCTATCTATCACTTTACAATAGTATCAACTTTCTGACCTAGGTCTATAAAACCAATCTCCTACCTAGGTCTCAACATCCAAGATAAAAAAAGCACAACTCCCGCTCAAATCTACTATACAAATATCGCAACCTTAAGGTTCAAATTCAACCCAGATAATTAGAAATTCATAACGGACACCTACATAACTAAAATAGCTAGCTAGTCATCTGAACAATGTAGGAAATTACTTTACACTTGAATGCCTCTTAGTGCATCAAGTGATTTAGAATAGTGAAGTTCTAGTGCAATGTCTTCCTGGAGTGTACACAGAGATATGTTGATACCTCTTACTATCCTCTCTTTATACTCCTCCTTTCACTAGTTGGGTCATTGGCACTACGTAAGCATGTAGTAGCTATGAGGAAGAGCCGTCATACGTCAACGAGGCGAGGTCCGGCTAGAGAGTAGAGTATTCGAGTGTTTATAAATAGCGACATTAAATCCAACTTGGCGCCCAGGTTCAACGGAAAAGATCAGATGGGATTGTGGTCATGACCGAGTAATGGTCTAGGAAAATCTCTGTCCACGAGAGAAGAAAAAACAGCGCAATCACAGATCACGTCATGAAAACTTGAATTATTTTATAGATTTTTATTTTATTGCGGACTAGGTTCAGAGTACATCGATGGGATTCCGAACAGCAAGCGGGGATACTCACCAGTAGAATAGTACAAGTCGTCCCTGTACGGTATTACCGCACCACACCAGGACAAGGAAATTATCGTAGCACATCTAAAAACAAGGAAACTTTTTTCCCCTCCACGCCAACCAAAGCCGTTATTGTATCATGATTTCTCAAAGCCCACATGAAGCTCGATCCGCTCCAAGATATCTATCCAAAGGATAAGATATAAGGAGGTTCATTCCGACTTCTTTTTATGTTCAAAGCCCACGGAAAATGATCAAGGTATCCCAAACGCCCCATTATGTGCATCAAAAAAGCTCAAATCCCCTGATTATCAAGGAATATCGGGACAGCCACAAGCCAACGAAGCCCACTGTGTAATGTCTCAAGCCCACAAGTCTGATCTCAATGCCCACAACTGCTATAGAAGCAGAGAAGTCAAAAGAGCCCACAACCCACAAAGCCAACGAGCAACCCACGGGACATAGAAAGATAGCGAAGTATCAACCTAGAGTGAGGCAAAACGGGACAACCCACAAACAGCCTTCGCTTAGAAGGTCTGCTTCTTGCCTTGGAAATCTCCAAAGCCTCCACGGTTGGTGGATCCACCACTATTTTCAAGTCAGAAAAGGTTCAACGATTTGATATCGAGAGAAATGCTTACCGGCCACCGCGAGCACCACCTCTTCCACCTCCGCGCCCGCCGCCACGGCCACCACGATCACCAAATCCTCCACGTCCACCGCCTCGTCCACCTCCGCGACCACCACGGTCACCAAAGCCGCCTCGTCCACCACGTCCACCTCCAGCACCTCTGTCAGGCTTAGGAGTAGCGTAGTCGAGTCTGACTGGACGACCGGCAATATCTTGTCCCTTCATGGCCTCGAAAGCAGCCTTGGCTCCGTCAATAGAGTCGAATGTAACATATCCGAATCCCTTAGGGTTGCCAGAGTCCCTGGAGGATATTAGTATAAATAAATGCCACGATGTGATTGAGTGCTTACATATCAGTTGGAAGTCTGACGTTAACAACAGTTCCATGCTCTCCAAATGCCTCTCCGACAGTGTCTTGGTCAGCATCGAATGACAAGTTACCAACGAAGAGAGTGTCAGATGGTGGGTTAGTTGAGTCACCGAATGACTTGGCTCGGTTGTCAGCACGGTCGCGAGGAGCATCGTTGTTTCGTGGTGTAGAGAAGTCGACGTTAGCCTCACGGCCATCGATCATAGCACCTTTCTTAGCCTTGAGAGCAGCGGCGGCCGAGGCAGAGTTGTCGAACTCAACGTAACCGAAACCCTTGGAGCGGCCAGACTCTCTGTCAGTAAGAACGTTGGCACGGGTGATGGTTCCGAACTCCTCGAACTCTCTGTACAACCACTCATCGTCAATGTTCCAGCTCAAGTTACCAACGAACAAGTTCTTGCTTCCAGTGTCCTCAACAACCTCAGTCTTAGCCTTCTTGGTAGCTGCCTCTGGCTCATTATCAGCCTTGCGCTTCTTGGATGGAGCAGCTTCGGTCTCGCTGTCGGAATCGCTAGAGTCGGAATCGGAACCAGACTCAGAGTCAGAACCAGAAGACTCGTCCTTCTCGGCCTTGACAGCAGGTGTGGCAGCTTCGCTGGAATCAGAGTCGGAACCAGAATCGTCGGAATCGGAACCGGAAGATGAGTCCTCCTGATTGAGTATTAGTGTGAGAAACATTGAGTGATGTATGGTGAGAAAACTTACAGCCTTCTTGGCAACAGCCTTTGCGGCACCGTTAACAGCCTTCTTGGTAGCCTCAACTTTCTTGACTACAGGTTTAGCCTCCTCCTCAGAGTCGCTTCCAGAAGATGAATCGTCACTGTCAGATTCGGACTGGGCAGAGGTAGAGTCAGAATCGGATGCTTCAGGATCATCGTCTGATGAATCAGAAGAATCGGAATCGGACTTAGCTACCTTCTTTGCAACAACTGCCTTGCCATTAGCTTTACCATTGGTCTTGCCGTTAGCGACTGGCTTTGCGACAACCTCCTCCTCGGTTTCAGAAGCGGAAGAGTCGCTGTCGGAACCAGACTCGCTCTCAGATGAGGATGGAGTTGGCTCCTTGACAGCCTTCTTGGACTTCTTTGCCTCTTTGGCGATAGCCTTGGATTTGGCAATTGGAGTCTGAGAAGGTTTAGTGATTGCTGCATTCTTGACTTTTGAAATTGGTTTGACCTCAGACTTGGCCTTGCTGCTGCCAGTCTTGACTGCTTTGGTCTTTCCCATCTTGATGATTGGGGGAGTGTATGTGTGTGTGGGAGGGGAGGATGGGAGGGTAATTGAGTGAGGAAGGATGATGTTGGATGAAGTGTTTGGATGGAAAGGTGTGAAGAGGAACAGGATGAGGTTGGGGGAGCGCGAGGAAATATATCGCGAGGCGGTGGATAAAAGCTCTTATCGCGCAAAAAAAACCTGCGTTTATCATCTTAGCGGGGTGCGCTAGAGCTCAAACGGGCATTAGTTTTATGCATGCCAAGAGCACGCCTTTCAATGTCGCCACGCGACTCGGAATTATGTATCTCCGATCGCCGGGCGGGCGACGAACCTTGAAGCTTGGATTGCGAAGGGTAGGTACTTGGGGAATCGCGATATTGGAATTGACAGCCCAACCAAACCATACACTCAATCTTCCACATATCCAGTCAAACATATTGAGAATCCCTCCATCGGCTGTCCCTCCAAATGGCCCCAACTCCCGAGTCCGCCGCCTTCCTGGCGAAGAAGCCTACAGTCCCACCAACCTTTGACGGAGTCGACTACGATAACACCAAGCGATTAAAGCAAGCGCAGGATGCAATCATTCGAGAGCAATGGGTCAAGAGCATGATGGCGCGATTGGTGAGAGAGGAGCTTGGGAAGTGCTATTACCGGGAAGGAGTCAACCATTTGGAGAAGTGTGGAGTTCTACGAGGTAAGCTTGGGTTGCGCTCTCATCGCTGCAGGCACGGGGGAACTGTATTTCGAGTTGCAGAATCATTTTGCATGTATAATTGCTGATAATTGGATTATAGAACGGTATTTTGAGCTGTTGAAGGAGTCGAAGATTCGGGGATACCTGTTCGAGCAAACAAATTACATCACAAAACAACAAGAAAACGGGAAATGAAGAAATCACGGCTGTGATCTTGTGGGAAGCTCTGAGAGGAATATGGCCTTGGGAGCTTCAATTAGGAGAAACACGCCTCTATGATGAAGCCAAAGCTTACGATAGAATGGAATGCAAGCTCCCACCGATTTTTCAGCTTGTGTTTGGAGAGATTGAAGTCGGTCACTGCTTCCCTTTCCACTGTGTATAACAAAATCTTACAATTGTGAACTACTCAGCCGAGAGTGAGATGGGATGAGTTTGTGTAACTCCTATGAAGCTTTCGATCGGTTAGCGGGGCTTGAATTATTCTCTACATCTTTTTTGCTGGTTGTCTGGTACTTGGGAGAGATCCAACAGGCTGAAAGAAAACTAACATGGCTCCTTCATAACCCAGTGTATGGATTGCACTTCAGCACTTGATCATGTGAGCGGATGTAAAGGCATGCAGCTCTCCATAGCTACTCGATACCTTCAAGCAGACAGAATTGAACAGGAGAATCGATCAGCCTCCCTGCTCTCCTAAAGAAATCGATTTGCGACATTTAAAATCAAATAGTCAAACAAATCAATCATCGCAATTCCAATACCCGTTCCCACCACAGCCCACCCAAAATTTATATCACCCGCACCCCGGGCCCACCCCGGCCACCGTACAACCTCCAAACATTTTCGAAGCTCCCCTCGCATCGAAAGAAATCCCACCACGCCCTCAATCGCGCAACACCTCCCCACACCCACCCAACCATGATCTGCCGCTCCTGCCTCCTTCGAGGCATCTCCAAANGCATCGAAAGAAATCCCACCACGCCCTCAATCGCGCAACACCTCCCCACACCCACCCAACCATGATCTGCCGCTCCTGCCTCCTTCGAGGCATCTCCAAACCCCTCACCCGTCCCTGCCGTCCCTCCTATCCAATCCTCCGGGCTCTCTCCACATCTTCCACACCAGCACCCTCTACACCAACCTCAAACTCTCCACCAACCCTCACAACACCTCTACCCCACCCCCTCTCCGCCTCTCTCGGGACCCCCAAAACCAAGCCAAAAACAACAGTCCTACCTATCTCCTCGGCGCCCGCGGGAAGGGTACTAAAGGGGATAAATTACATCCAAGGGCGCGATGATCCCGTGGCGCTGAAGGAGGAGGAGTACCCGGAGTGGCTATGGAGGATCCTAGACGCGAAGAAAGACGTCGGCGGAGAAGGGGAGGAGGAAGTTGGCGGGGATGAATTTTGTACGTTTCCCCCTCTTTCCCTATTTACCCCCCCCCCCCCCCCCCT